TAAACCCTAAACCTTAAACCCTGCCTTCCAATCGGCTCGGGGGTTCCGGGTGACACCCACATGGAGTCGGTTGTTCTCGGTAGTTAGTATATGTCTATGTGGGTGGGTGTTGGGTTTAGGGTTTAGGGTAGTTCTCTGAAATCAAGTCAATTTCTAAGTCCCCCAAAATAGTACGGCACCTTTCATAAACAATCCCCAAAACAGTACGGCAGCTTTACAAAAAGGACATTCAAAGGGACTTTAGACAACTACCCCTGTGGCTTTTAAGGGGGTCGTTAATGAAGGCATTCTGATACTGAGTGGACAGGCCCACATGTGACGGAATCGCGGTTGCGGATTCAAGGGGACGCGGGCCCTAGGGCCTTCAAGCACCGAATCCCCTTCAATTGAGGATTATACCTTAAGATATAGGCCTTAACTTAATTAAAGGATCATGGAACATCTGGGCACCCACTGTTGGCGCCTGGAGTCGGATCCTCCGCGCTGTCGTCGTGCCGGAGTAGGTTGAAACTGGCCTGGTGCCACTCTGTCGCTCCACAAATCCGAAATCGAGAACCATAAAAATGCATAAACTCTCAGTGAGCCAAGGCCCACACCCCATTCAAGTTGGATGCATAGTCGTTAATGATTAAACTGAGGCTTCATGAACCACCCGACATCCACGAAACAATGATCATGTAACCCCCAAAACCTAAACCCTGCATCCCTCAACCCTAAACCCTAAATCCTTAAATCCCTAAATTCCCAAATCCCTAAAACCCTCGAACTTCGAGCCTTGGGACCTCTGCATTCAGGCTCGCAGTGTGCAGGAAATGTAGGGGCCTAATTTTTTTTCAAATACGATGTTTGGGGGGTTCCTTGTTATACTTACACAGTATAATGGGCTACGACTTTGGGGGGTCATTATTTGAATTACAGTATAATAGGCCCCAAAATCCCATTCTACGTATGAAGGCCACTATAGTACCAAGACGTTGGGGCTCTAAAGCTTCGACTTCAGCCAAAACAGCCCCCTAATTTAGGGGCCTTAACAGATAGAATGGGGTTTTTGAGGGGTAGAGTCTACTATAACCGTAATAAGAAACCTCTAAAGTAGTGCTGGTAATATTCAGGCCCCTATATAAGACGCAGAACAGATGATCTTCTGGACGTAGAGTTTTGGAAGGCTGAATTCGAAGCCTTGATGTGTGGTACTGTACGTACTGATTCAACCAAAACTGACTAACAAATCGCACGTTGACACCTGGCGCCTCGCCCGAAACTCGGGGTAACTACAAGCAATAAGACAAGTTTTTGTGCCTCGAGATCTCACAAGCTGACTTGGCCCGGGAATCCAGTTGCATCGGGCACGAGGCTCACTTGTCGTGCAAGCCAAAATGAGACGCCCGACGAAACAGCTCGAAATCTGCACTGTTGGGCCCGAAGGCGTTTAGGGTTTAGGGTTTAGGGTTTAGGGTTTAGGGTTTAGGCAGCACTCTGCTGAACAGGCAAGCTGCGAAACAGCAAGCTTCCAACGCGTCCAGCAATGCGTTGCCGAAGCAGAAACAACTTTGTAGCAAGCAAATGCCATGTGGACCACTGTACCGATGAGGAAAACCTCCCTTCCGCATGGAAGGTAACCGACGCCACATCTATAGTCATAGTTGCTGTTGTAGATATTGTCGGGATCCCTGCTTTCATGCATGTGGTTGACAATGTCGACATATCACTACAGACTTTAGCGATTGATGCTGAAGCTCTCACTTATGCTACTACATTCCAAACCCTGTAGACCCCAAAGTCTGTAAAGCCATAAGCCCTATAAGCATCAAACACTGCCCTGAGGGCCAATTGCCGCTCATGTCTGGCGAACGCCAGAGACTCAATCGTTTCGCAAGATCAGAAGGGTTCTCCTCCACACTTTTCGCTTGGGATTTATAACCCTAAGGGTTCATGTACCCATATAGTATATACTTAGACCCTGAAGTACCTAAATAGGAACAACATTAAGGCCAATGTATATACTATATGAGTACATGGACCCTTAGGGTAAGTTGAAAATCTGTTGGGCCTTCGGCCTGCAGGGTGTCTTGTGCGGGAACAGGTTCGTGAGTCAGGCAGATAAGGCGGAAGTTCAGGCTTTAGGGTCTACAGGTCTGTTGGGGTTTAGGGTTGATAGGCTTGCGTCATGGGAGCTTTGAGATTTAACCTGTGCGCACTCCCGAACGGCACACTTCATCGTGTCAATGCTGCCTGCCACAGAATTCGAAAATCGTTGAACAGACAAGTCCAGCTATTCATTACTTTTTGATGTCTACCGTGTGGCTTGTTAGCATCCTAGAAATATCCTACGCAGGCCTCTGCGGCAACACGGTGTGGCCGATGCCAGGGCTCTATGGAACCAAACCCTAAACCCTAAACCCCCAAACCCTAAACCCTAAACCCTAAACCCTAAACCCTAAACCCTAAACCCTAAACCCTAAACCCTAATTCGTATTCGCAGTGGCCACAGAGACTGGGGCCCCGGGGAAAGACGAGTACTCTAAGGGTCCATCTTCCCCAAGGGTGCCTTTAAAGGTTTCCCCTAAGGGTACCATAAGGGTTCTGTAAGGGTACTATAGACTTTAGGGTTTAGGGTTTAGGGTTTAGGGTTCGAGGGTCCATGTACCCAAATAGTATGTACTTTGGCATTGTATTGTAGCAGTCCTTATAGGTACTTTGCGGCCAAAGTATTATGCATGGACCCATACGGACTACAACGATCAAGCAGAGAGTGCAAGGTCTGGATACAGAGTAAAAACCGCAGCTAACAGGCTTCCTTCCACTTTAAGTTTATAAATTATAACTCATGTTAATTTTGCAAGGACATCAACATGATGACGGAGAGGGGGTACTCTTGGCAAGTTGCTGCGGGTTCCTATGAGAGACTCTGAGCATTGAACCCGTCCCATAAACCACGAAGCCCTACTTGAAACCCTAAAAAATCCTACATACCCTAAACCCTAAACCCTAAAAAATCCTACATTGAAAGCCCAAGAGCCGGTCCTGGGAGGCCTGTGACATCAGGCCAGCAGCAGCTCGGCAGGTGTTAGCCCTTCGTCGCCTTTGCGTTCTCTAGGGATGGGTTTAGGGTTTAGGGTTTAGGGGCTTCAGGGCTGGAGGGAGGAGGATGGCCTACAACTCAGGCTTCAGGACTTCAGCGGTATCTAATGTAGGGGCCCTTCATAATTAGAATAGGGCTTGGGGGCATAGTATACTATACTTATAATAAGGAACCTCCGAAATAGTATCGGTAATTATTTAAGCCCTTGTTTTAGACTTTAGGTGGCAACTTTGCTCTAAGGTTGTCCTTGGAAGCACTACCAGACGGCAGGCACCATGAGACCAGCGACAGCGACAGGCAACCCGAAGCTCTGGACGTCTCAGCAAAACAAGTCTGCTTACAGCAAAAAAATTGCAGGTCGCGCAATCTGGGTTAGTGTTTAAGATTTGGGGTTTAGGGTAGAGAGAGACCCCATAATTATGAACCCTAAACCCGAAACCCTATATATACTCCCTATAAACCGTATATAAGCCCAAAAGCTTCGGCCTTAAAGTTACAAAGACAGCCCCCAAGGTCTGAGGAAGCTCCAGTCACAGCCTCGCCCCTACGAGCCTTAGACCCTCAACCCGGACTATTTTGGGGTTTAGGGTTTAGGGTCTAGGATCTCGGGTTTAGGGTCCATATATACGACGATTCTGGAAATAGGTCCCCAAAACCAGAATCGAGATGATGGTCTTTTGGGACCTAATCCCATAATGGTAGTGTATATGGACCCTCTGGGTTATAACAGTAACAGTAACACCGTAGAGCTTATAGGGCTGATAGGGGTTTGGGTTTAGCGCTTCGAGTTTAGGGGTTGAGATTGATAGGGTTAGGGTTTGGGTTTGGGGTATAGGCCCTCAGCCCTAACAACCTGATCTCTAGACACCAAAGAAACCCTAACCCCCCAGGTTCCCACTATCTAGGGTACTAGAGGCCCTAAACCCTAAACCCTAAACCCCTAAACCCTAAACCCTAAACTCCTAAACCCTAAACCCTCATCCATACTAGAGGCCCTAGGGCCCCATATAGCAGGTATCTGGAAGGTTAGGGAAAGATCAGGGCAAGTTGCAGGAGCCGTGGGGGTCACCGCCGAAGCCTGGCGGTCGGGCCCATGGTACTGAAAGGACCATGGGACCTAGTAACTAAGGTAGGGTTTTGGGTTTAGGGTTTAGGGTTTAGGGTTTAGGGTTTAGGGTTTAGGGTTTAGGGTACTTAAAGGGTCATGGGACCTAGTAACTAAGGTTATTATTAGGGTAACTATACTTCTAACTACTTATAACCCCAATTAAGGTACTTATAGCCATACTTACTAAGTCCCATGATCCTCCAAGTAAGGCGTATCATGCTCCTACCCGTAAGTGCGTGGTCACCTGGGCAGAAAAGGTTTGCAGGAGCTACGAATTTCTACCCTAAACCCTAAACCCTAAGCCCTAAACCCTAAACCCTAAACCCTAAACCATATATATATATATATATATAGATAGATAGGTACTTGCGACCCTTTGGGATGGTTAGCTGGCTGCGAGGCCTTCGGGCTACAACAGGGCCTCCCATCATCGGGCCTCTCTTGTAAGGGTGAGGGTGAGCTATTGAATTTTGGGGTTTTGAAGGCTTAGATTTAGGGTTTCTAGGGCTTGGAGCGAGTTTAGGTTAAGCAGCAGAAAATTGATACTGCAAGGGCTCCGTCCACCAGTCACTCGCGCAATCAGTCACTGAGCCAAACCATCAATCAGTCTATCCACCCATCCGTCCATTCATGCATCCAATCATGCATTCATTCAAGACGTTCACTGAACCAACCAACCAACCCACCAGCCCGCCAGCCGGCCAGCCAGAGAGCGAGCAAGGGGGCAAGCAAGCAAGCAAGCAAGCAAGCAAGCAAGCAAGCAAGCAAGCAAGCAAGCAAGCAAGCAAGCAAGCAAGCAAGCAAGAACTAAGCAACCAGCCATCCACTCAACCAAACACGCAACCAACCAAGCCAACGAGCAAATCTGCATGCAGGCACGCAGGCAAGCAAGAACAAGCAAGCAAGCACGCACGCAGGCAGACAAGCAAGTAAGACGGCCTTAATAAGGGTCCTTGAATATGAATGAAAGAGCCCAATTCAGGCCAGCTACCAGCATTCAACAGTCAACCTTGTACTCCCCGCAAGCTGCAAAGGACAGTCGATGCTTGAAAGAGATGCCTTGGACGTCGAGATCTGGTTTCAAAGACAGAAACAGCGAGGGTTTCGGAATAAATTTGTAGGAGTCGGCAAGGTTGCAAATGCCGGATGTGGCTTTTAGGCTTGCAGTGGAGGGTTCATACTGTCTGGTCTTATTTGGTCCGAGGCCGAGCCCTTCGATACCCTCAAGCCCAAAACCTGGAAAGACGTGGCCTTCTTGCAACGCCCGGATCCCGGTAGCGGTCCACTCTGCAGTGCCTGATTCCAGCTTCGGGAATCGACGTATC